ATATATATATATATATATATATATATATATATATATATACATACATGTTAAGATTCTGCATATAAATCTTAACCTTATCCATATATAGAGAATGAAAATGAGCAGGAGTTATGGCTAAAATAATTTGTATCTGTATGCTATACAGTGAATGTCTGTATTCAATAAGGGATTGTGCATCTATCTTTCAAATAATAATGATAATTATTATTTAAGTTAATTTAACAACCCCCCCTCCAATTTCAACTCTCGCAGGTTTCTAGGGGAAACTGATCCATAACTGAGAAGCAGATGAATAGTCTTATTTAGTAATTTGTAAAATTTCTTTAATAATTGGAGGGGTGGGGGTTATAAAAATAGAAACAAGCACCGATAACCTATGTGTCAAATTTAAATGCAAAGGTGGCAATCATACATCTAATGTAAATTTTACAAGGCATCAATATAATGCAACTAACAATCTCAGTTAAGTATTCTTAAGAGAAAGATATACTTTTGCTAAGGTATTTCTATCATATAATGATAATTAAATTAAAATACCAACTTTAATTAAATCTGTATTAGCTTCTAACCTTAAAAATACATTTGTAGTTCTTAAATTACCAAAACATTTTTAAACTGCACCAAAATCTGTTCCTGCATCCTATGTTATAAGCAATAACATTTTAAGGAGTGGATATCTGACACATCTATACCTACCTGTACTAATATGTACAGTTTTCAAGAAATATCTAGAACAGATTTCATATACTTCCCATGAACCTGAATGTAGACATTCATGGTTAAAATGTAACTGAATTGCTTACAATTTAATTAATTTTGGAACTGAACATTATAAACCTTTAATGTGAATACTAATAGATACAATATCCTAAATATTCTTTATACAAATTGTATTTATTCTTATTTTTCAGTGCACCTCTTTGAGTACATTTAATAATCCACTAAGACATAAAACTAAAAAAGTGGTAAGTATCTACTTGAAAACTTTCATACAGTTAAGTGCCTGAATATTCTACAGGATCTCTGCATTGGCTTAAGCACTGCAAATATGAGGGTATCACAAATAATGGAGCACCAGATCATTTTAACAATCCTCAGCTTTGACAGACCTCAATTCCTTACTGTAAACAAACACTGCAGTTTCTGGCACTGGTGTCGCATGCTTTCCCTACTCTTTACCCTACTGCGATAGCCAGTTAACCACCAATGTTTGGAGAGGGGCATGAGGGGGGATAATCCTGTGGTATCCCACAGTCCACACTTACAAGGGGCTCCAGGTTAAAGCGCAAGAGGCAGAATGGAGGTCATTTTCCATGTTGCTAACAGTCAACACACTAATTGTTGAACCGCATGGGAGAAGATGCGTAGGTAGGTAAACAAGAAGGAGTAGAGTTATGAAGGCAGCTGTAAGGCGCAGCAACCACAACGGAGAAACGGGGAAGGGGGGGGGGATTATAAAAAAAAAAAAGCTTCTTCGTTGCCATTCATCTTTTCACATCACAGTGATCAAGGGACTTCCATCAAGCAATGTCAAGGGGCGGCATGAAGATCGAAAGCCCACTCTTGGCTCGACCCTCGTCATTCTCACACTCAGCCCACTCGCCCCGCGGACCCTTCCACCAAGCTGCGTCCAACCGAGAGAGAAGGAAAGGAAGGGAAAAGCCGCCCTTACAGCAAGCACCCTGGACTCTCCCCACCCCCGAGGTTTTCGCACCTGCCGCCCCAAGGGAAACCTTTTGGCGCCGGGAACTTTCTGGTGGGAAGGTGTGCGTGCGGACGCAGGCAGCAGGGCACTGAGGCCCCTTCGCCTCCCTCGCCCCCAGTTCTCGACGTAGCGGCCGGCCGAAGCGGCACCGGGGCCCTCTTTCCTGGCCGGGCTCTACGCCCTCGCTCTTCCTCCTCGCTTCAGAAGCAGGCGCCCGCGTCCCGCGGGGAAGTACCCGGCACCCGCCTCGAGATAAACTCCAATCCCTGCTCTCCCGCGGGGACTCACCTCGGCGGCCTCTCTTCCC